TGTTTTCTTAGAGGTAATATGAAAGCAATCACGCTAGAAATGACTCCCCTTGAATTCATCGTTTTCGATATCTAGCTCTCTTAATGACCACCGTTCGAATCCATTCACATTTTGAAATACTCCATTTGATAATGATATTCGCCTAGGAATGAATTCCTTTCTTAATATAATGACTTACCTTGACTTTAGCTTTTTCGCCAAAGCTATTTTTATTGACTACCGTTCTACTCTATCCGTTTTTGTGAAAAATCTAATCGAATCTATCCATGTGTATTGGACCTAATTCTTTGAAGCAAGCAAAGACAGGTAGCAGCACTATCTTATATACCATATAACGTCGGTGAATGTAGGCAATGCTAGAGATTTACTCAACATTCAGTTAATATTCAAACTATTATCAAAATGCCATTCAGTAATGTACATAGCAATTATCTTTCCAATAATAGTGAATATCATTACCTCGTAGTCTGCACTGTCATTGCTATAATAGTGAATATCATTACCTCGTAGTCTGCACTGTCATTGCTATGGTTTTGTCCTGGTTCAAAATGATGCAGAGGTGGAGGGAGTGATGTCATTGACCTATTAACAAATACACATTAGTGATTTAGATAACCCTTGCCCCTTACTGTTTTTCAGACTTCACTAGAGTCAACTTTCTATTAGAATTATTTTACTATTTATTAATTTCTTTGAATTGTGTACAATAATCAGGGGCGGATTTAGGGGTGGGGGGTGGGGAGGGGGGATGTAGTGCAATGAGTTGCAGCCCCACTTTGCTTAAACATTTTTCTTTTAAMTAGCATGTAAAAAGACAACAAGAAAACATCGAAAAATAATCCTCAAAACACAATTTGATAGTCATCTTTTCTTATGCGTCATTCGCATTTTTGATTGTAGACTAGTAAAGTTGATGAAGCCAAATTTCTTGCAATTTTTTCGTCCCCCTGGATCTGCCCCCGATAATTTTGCACGTCTCTGTGAAGTTGGCATATGTAGATGACTTGTAATGATTAAAGACTTACACAAATGGTAGCAGCAGCTCTGGAAAACCACTGGAAGATGACAGATTATAGCTGATACCATGACGACGACCATGGTAATGCCGACGGCGGCGGAAATGAAGAGGTAGAGGCTAGCAAGAGTGAATTACTGGTTAATAATATAATAACAGACAAAATATATTTCATTAACTGCTCAAATCAATTAATTCTAAACAAAGTTTCACAAACTCCACCAAAGGCCAGATTTTGTTCTATTTTTGTTTTTTAAAGATGGGGTTAACACATATTAACAACATGTTAGTTGGATTCTACCAAGAAGCAAGTGTTGTTTATTAATCATGGTTCTATTGACTGACTTACCAAAGGTCCTGCTGCAAGGTCTGGTGGTGCATGACTCAAGAAAGGAAAAGATGACTCAGCTGTTTGCAACTGTGGCTGTTCATCTGCAAGTTCTTGGTCAAACTGTGCCTGCAAACGAAGTCATAAACCATTAGCAAATGGAAAATGTATAGAGAAATGGCAGACCATGGGACTAGCCTTTTACTTATGCAGTAACAGAAATGATTTTTCAATTGATGCATAAGGCAGCTATAACCACTTATTATTTGAATCATTCTATAAGACAATATGTTGTACATGWACAGTGGAGTAAAACCCCTGCATGGCTTATATTGATCTATTAAAAGACTAATAAATATAATTATTTCTTAAGTTTCCGTTAGGTTTTCATAGTTTCTTTGCTGGTTGTGTTTGTTGGTCGCTTAGTTGCTAGGATTTATAGAGAGTTGCGCGTGAAAAACACTGCATTGAATTAGTGGTCACACTGGGAATTGAACCTGGGACCACCAGAACAATGCTCTGCCCACTCTGTCATGCTGCCTTTTCCTAATGTCATGTAGACAACTGTCAAAGTGACCAGTAATACTTACTTGAAGTCTTCTTGCTAAAGCTTCATCTGACTCTTCATTACAAGATGAGGATCTGTCCTGCAATCTCTGTAGTACAGAATCTCTGTTGAGTCTTCTCCTCCATGAATACCGATGTTCCGTTTGGCTATCAGGAGATCTGTTGTCRTAGGTACTGTCTCCAGTAGTTTCATAAACATCTCTAGACGTTTCATTCTAAAAGTTTGATCAATAGTATTTTAAAATTACAACACGAAATATTCTTTCTCCTTCAAAAGAATTGTATTCTTCCTACTCAAAGKATACCATGACAATAATGATAATAATAATGATATTTTATGGTGGTTCATCATTTGTAAAATAGGTTATTTGATGTTCGAATCATGAGGTAATTTTGCATTTCTGACTTTTGCCATTTAAGCAAAACAAAAAACAAGAAACAAACAAAAAAATGTTGGAATTGGGTCAATCATGACCTAGTTTGGAAAACCTGGCACTAAACATTATGGTTTTCCCACCCCCTTGTAATCTTGCTCCAAATTTTCTTCCTCTCCCCACCATCTCACCCAGACTACYGTATTTACCCATGTATAAGCCACACTTTTTTTCCAAAAAAATCGTTCCCAAATCGGAGGTGCGGCTTATCTACGAGAAGACTTGTAAAAATGCCCAATGAAAACTAATTTGTAAAGCTCATGCATTGCTTAGTAATCACTTCGAATTTCATTGCAAACAAAATACTTGCACATRTAAGGTACTAATTTGCATATATAATTTGCATATATAACTACATAAACAATTTGAGTTTCTTATTAATTAAATGGTCTCAAAATCAATGAAATAAAAAAGAAAGATTTACTTCGAAAKCCACCATTTAAATTTTTAAAATTATTTTACATTTCACACAATCTCAGTAGAAAGTTTGGCTATTTTGAGTGCTGTTTTTAGCAATCAAACCATTCTCACGCAAAAGCCCATATGCGACATTGTTTAGCGATTTTCTTACCTTAACTATATACAGGGTCCGTACAGATTTTTACATATAAAATTCAAGGACTTTTCAAGGACTTTTTAAGGATTAATTTTCAATTTTCAAGGACACCAATTACAAAGAGAAAGATACAGTTAATAAACTTACTATTCCTTTATCTCTTGGAACATATTTTTCTCAATCTCTCAATCTCTATTAATTCCTTTACYGCCGTATTGCACAATAGTACAACAGACATTGCCAAAAKGATTGAAATATTATCAATTTGCTTCAAAGCTTGGCAAAATTGATCTCTAAAACATTACTTCACAACAACCAAGACTGATTCAAGGACTACATTATCATTTTCAAGGACCTTTCCTCCGAATTCAAGGACTTTTCAAGGAAAATTTGCATTTAAGGACTTTTCAAGGACCCAGCTCCAAAATCAAGACTGTACGAACCCTGTATATATACAAAATATGAATAGATTTGAATGTTCGAGCCTTGCCAAGATATGTCTGATTTTTGTGCAAAGTCGCTCTTAAGAGTTMAAAACACCAAATGACTGTGTTAACTACTGGTGTTTGCATGTAAAAAAAGTCCTTACATTGTTGGCAACTGGTGAATCATGTACTGTAATGGGTGATGTGACGCGTACTGGTCCACTTGAGGTAGATGTCATGTCTCTAGGTCTCTGTCTAGAGGTATGTGATATGGGAGTTCTTCGTCCAGATCTGTGGGTAGTTATATACGGGCAACTTTGCATACGTGAGCGGAGGGCATGCAGGCGTAGATGATGATGGTCTGCACGCATTCTTGCTATTCGTTCACGGGTTGCATTCAGCTGACGCTGGACACGCGCAGCAAAGTCTTGGTACATACCATTCATTTCACTATATAAACAAAGTCAGTTAAGTGGAGGGAACATCTTATTTATATGTAAAGGCCCTTTTTTAGAGGGACTATATTATTGTAGTGATGAAACCAGGTACTAGTTGTTCAAAGGGCAGATTAAAATTATTTACTTAGATTTTGTATGGATGTTATCTGCTGGATAAGGATTTATCTGACAGATAGTACTATTCACCCTTCATCCAACTGGACCAAATGGTTTCCATGATAAAAAAGCCTTCTTAAACGCCCTAGTGCTGTGGTATTACATGTAATTTACTTATTGATCTTGACAAGGAGAGATCTGTGGTCATGCTAGAGTCTCACTATCATAATACTAGTATGTACAGTGTGTATTCTTAATGACAAAATACTAGTATATTACAGATTGTATCATTCTTTTGATAGCAATATTTTTTGAATGTTGATGTCTTACGTTACATGATCATCTACAGTGGTCCTGTCCTCATCATGATCTGGTGATGTCAAGTCAATGACTGGTATTTCCCTGTGCTGCTGTGATTTTGGTCTCTCACCATTGAACACTACAGAGTTGTTAAGTTCRCTGCTGTCACTGGATGTTGATGGAGATATTGCCTGAACTTGTCTTGAGGTAAATGGAGTCTCAGCATGAACCTCTTCTGTGAGGATGGAAGGGTCTCGTGGGGAGCCTGGATTTCCATGCATTGAGGAAGAAGTGCTTTCTGTATCACTCTGTCCCATTCTTCTTCAGATAAATCTATAACTATAGAAAAATACTTTAAGATCAATGTAAAGATTTACAATCCTATAAAAAAAATTATTTACAGACGCACTTTCGGAATATTGAGGGCAAATTTAAAAACTCATTCTCCCGGGAATTAGAATTGTTCTAGCTCGTGTATATAAGCTCCATGACCACTTGTGACTTTTAGCATAATTATGATTTTGCAATAAAATCGAAATATAGCTGTCATTACGATCTTCTGTACATAATTCAAAAGTTGAATTTGCACAGTATGCTTTCCATCCTTGGATTATCACTCATCTTACTATAATTAATGAGTTATTAGGCCAATAGAATGAACCTATTTGGTCACATGCATGGACCTTTATATCTGATAAAACACTTCTTATAAGTATTCTTTATACAGGCATGCTGGATTCTTTTTTTCCATGTTATACCAATTTTTAAGATGAATTGCCTTCTACTAATGTTTTTTTGTGGTCCCTTGACTGTTTTTTTTTTATCAAAAAACGCTCCCAAACATGCTTATAATTTTCTGAATATAGTTTTGTTTTCGTGGGCTTCACAAATGTAAGAGGCGTTCAAAATTTCTTCAGAAAGGTCTGGGCACTAGCATTACTGGTCACCCTGTGYCTTACCAGATCACGGGACAAATTCCAATATGGCGTATGATGCAACACAGGGCGCCCAGGCTCAACAGTACATGTAGTTGTGTTGCTTTCACAGCGGTGTCAAAGTATTGTGTGGTTCGTGGTTCGAGCCCTCATGAAGCCATAATTTTTTTCTACCTCATTTCTTGAGACTTTTCAAGACATTCTCTTTCTTTTCTTTTTTCTTTAATAAGTATACAAACAGTTTTATGAATAAAGATTCATTTTTAAAGCACATAATTCCRACATGCCTGTTTATATAAAGAATACTAATAAGGGTGACCTTTATCAGATATAAAGGTCCATGACCCTAGCAAAGGTCTCAGGTTTTGATACCTGATCATTGACCAATGCAGGATGTCAACAGATTGTAGTAAAACAGCCATCAGCAGATCTATTTTACTTTATAATGCGTATTTAATGTGGGATAAAAAGAGTGCTTTGTAAAAAGAGATTTGCACATGATCAGTTTGCCCCATTTATCTCAAAAATTATCTTTACGGCAATTTCTTCAAGCATTTAAATGGATTTGAGTTTCAAATTAGTGTTRAAGTTTTTTAAGTTGTTTAAAGGCCCAGTGTGCACCATTATGCTTTGGGGGCCGAAAGTCTATAAATTGTACTGTGTGTTTCAAATCTTTGACAATCTAACCACTTTCAACGCTAATATAAGAGTTTTCAGCCATCTGAAATTTGTTTTAYGGTGATATTTRGATACTAGAAGTATTTTGGTGTAAATCATAACAATAACAGAGACGCGCAAAGCATAATGGTGCAAACTGGGCCTTTAAAACACTCGAGATCGTGTTTTATCAGGTATAAAGATTCTTGCATTCAGCTTGAATCTTTACACCTGATAAAACACTCTCTCTCATGTTTTAAACTACATACATAAAGAATTGTTTGTATAGCTACTCAAGCTTGACTACAGTAAACACAAATTTGTAAACATAATAGAACTGTTTACAAAAAAGAGAAGCTAAAAAACAACAATAAAAACAATGACAAAAAAATTGTCATTGACACTATTTAATAATGTGGTTACTCAAAATGGAAGTTGAAAGATTTTCAATGATACTCAGATAAGATATATCAAAATTTTCAAAATTAATTATTGATTTTGCTTTTTAATTGTGCATAATAGGCATTGTAAGCAAAACCAAAACAAACAAAGACATTCTCCTGAATTCTAAAAAATCTGCAGGGTAACAAAACAAAAAGATGGAAGAAAATTTAAGAAATTACAGACAATGACTGAAGTGACCCTGTTGACCACCTCAGGAGGGAAACTTGTGACTGAGTTGGTGCAACAAAAGCAAAATACTTAGAGGATTATGTTCAATAATGGCTGTTGTTCTAATGGACAAYTTGCTTTTTGTYATTTCACCAAAYCACAATCTTTTTTCTAGTAATTCTTCGTTTGCAATATACGTCACAGCCRCCATCTTGGTTGAACTTCAACAAATGATTTCTAATTAGTATCTATTGTTCATTCAACCAACATGGGCGGCGGTCTTTTATCTTTTGAATCTCATGAGGATGATTGAAAACAAGCAATAGTGTATTACTGAAGTGAGCAAAACAGTTTTTTAAAAAATCAGAAAATCACAGCACGCATGTAGCATAAAAGCTGCATCATATACTAGCAATACTTGTTCTTGTTGGTTGATGCCCAAGGTTTTAACAGGCATGGGTCACACTAGAAAAAGACTGAACAATTTGACATAAGAAGAACTGTTTGTGTCTGTGATATTTTATCAGTGGGAGATTGAGATCAGCACTCCAAAGCCAAGGCTTACTTCTTTTGTGCTCTTRGGTGTCTATTGTCTTTATATCAAAGCACAGAGACAGGTATTGCTATTTGATATTCATATCAAAAGACTTYCAAAACCTAATGTTGGGCTCCCTAATGATTGAATCGTATAACAAAATAGTGTACTAAACATATAAATCATGTTGAAAATCCAATTCATTCGAATCTTGTTAATGCTGGCATGTTCTGAAAACGCCTTTTTCCCATTCAAAGCGAACAACCGCTGATTTAGTTGACAACAGTCTCTCATRCGCAGAGACCTGACCAAAAACAAAAGAAAGCACGAAAAAATGTTGTCATTACAATAGCAATAAGCCTGTATTCCCAGAAGGTTCAACGTCATGTTCAGGCTAAGCCTCAAAGCCGYGAAGATTCAAATTTTTAGAGCTATTGTAATGTCAACATTTTTTCACGCTTTCTTTTGTCCTCTAGGCAAGTGAGTCTGTTGTCTATTAAAACAGCCGTCACACGCATTGAACTGGAAAAAGGCTTATTTGGAGAAAAAAGTGTTTTTTAATATCTACTATCAATTCTAACCCTATTTACATTTAAAGAGTGATTAACTAAGCGAAGCACACAACATTTTTTATTAACAATTAAGGAGTAAAAAAGTTAGAACATTCAGAAAGAATTGAACCAAACACAAGAAACGGTATATAATACTAGTCTTTCAAAGCACTACATGGTCTTACTCCGTCTTTCTGAACTGATCTCTATATACAAACCTAAAAGAACGCTCCGGTCCTCTAAAGAACTACTCCTATCTGTTAAACCTTACTCCATGAAAACATATGGCTCTCGCTCTTTCTCTGTTGCTGCCCCTACTTTATGGAACTCTTTCCCATCTGATTNATCGGAAATTCCGGAGGGGTGGGGGGTTGGGGAAGAGTTTAAAAAAAAACGATCAAAAATCGAAAATTCCGGGGGGGTGGGGGGCCATAAATGAAATATCCTCCGTGGTGGGGGTATGGATATTTTCTGGAACTACACATTGAGGTTTTAGAAAGGCACATCTTCATGGGAACAACACTTGTATGGCAAAGACTTTTTTTTGACAAAAACTTTCCAGTTTTTGATTGTTGAGGGTCTTGTAGATCTGACATACTCTAAATATGAAGGTTTTTTTGCAGTTTTTATGGTAAGTTATATCTTTTTCAGTAATATTCAAACATCCCCTTATGCCTTCCTGAATTTGATTTGTCGAAAGCAATGTAAATGGCAGTGTGATTCTTTGAATGCTTCAGCAATGTCCAGCCATGTTTAAAAAAAATCAATATTCACAGTGGAAAATTATGAACACATATCTTAAAGAGATCTTTGGAAATGTGTAAAAGAAAAAAAGGAATAGTTCAGAAATTATAACTATTAACAATCGATTGTTACGATGTCCAAAAAAAACATAGAAATCATGTTAAGTTAACCTTTAAGTTAACCCTCGTTTACCTTTGCCATGAAGAAAAAGTGGAAAACGACTGAAGAATAGCCAGTACTGAAGAAAACTGCAGTACAGATAAAACGTTTCAATCGGTGGCCATTTTAACTTAAAGTTTAAAACAATTTCAAAACGTACGTGTGAAGGGAAGAAATAGAACTAGTCACAAAGTCTCCGTCAACAGTGAAAGAAACATGGTCAATCCTATCCAAAATACACTCAAACGAAGGCACACAAATATCCTTAGAATTCAYTCGAGTAAATAAACTTCACCAAAGCATATTGTGACGCCAACAAAAGATTCAAAATCGTTGAAATAGTCGCGGTTTATCGGTGTCACGGTATTCGATAGCTTGTACAGTGGTTCGGGTGATTATGCAGCAGAAACTTACCTCTAAAACGCTTGGAAACTTCTAAATTACGTCTAAATCGATTCAATTGATGTTGTTCTATGTTCTATCCAACTATTTCTTATGTATTTTACGATAAAAATATAGAAAAAATCAAACGAAATACTCCAGCTTTTCTTTCCTTACAATCTGCCTCGGCTTTTGTGTATCTCGTGCATGCGTAAATACCCTAACACTATACCGCTGACAGGAAATGATAGATGATTAAAACACACCAAATAAGGAAATAACGACGTCATAACGCAAACTTTAGAGAGAAAAAATATGTTTTGCAGAGAAAGCATTACGATTTTCTTTCAAAACATCAAACGTGATCCGTATCATGACGTACTTTTGAAAAATGTTTCTAAAATTTAACAAACGCGGCCCGTAGATATAATAAAACGAAAAAAATCGATAACATGACTAGAATTTTTCAGAAGTGCTCGAGTCGAGGATCGAACCTTGCTAAACTGCAAGGTTTAAAAAAAAAAAAAAATAAAATAAATAAATAGATAGATAGATACAGCCTTTTGCAAAAATTATGAGAATTGTCTAAATATCTAAATATCATAATATCCATATCCATATATTGTCCGGAACACACGGGTTTGCTAAAGAATTCATTGTTGACATCGAGAAAATGTTCAGAACTACGGATAAGTCTGTCGCCAAAAAAAACCCTAAACTACAAAGACAAGGGACTAAGGGCATCGCGCGGGATTACCCATCATGCACTCGATATTATGATATTTAGATATTTCAACAATTCTCATAATTTTTGCAAAAGGCTGTAAATAAATAAATAAATAAATAAATAAATAAATAAATAAATAAATAAATAAATAAATAAATAAATAAATAAATAGATAGATAGATAGATAGATAGATAGATAGATAGATAGATAAATAAATAAATAAATAAATAAATAAATAAATAAATAATGGGTGGAACTTGCCGTGTCCAGGGTTACGATAATTTACCAGCGCCGCATCGATTTGATAGATTTTTCGATTTTTATCATTGCAGCGAAAATTTAGCATTCAGATTGCATTCGCATTATCCTCAGAGAATCTATAAGATGAAAGTTTGCTTTGCATAAAATGATTTTAGAAAGAAAAAAAGAACGAGTATATTTTATTCTAAAAACGAAATAGCACGTGGTTTACGTGGTTCATGAGTGAATGTTTATGACGTTATGCAATCAATAATCTAATTGATTTCAAGAATGTAAAGTTGAATCGACCAAGAATCGAATTAATGAATTGAATAATACGAAACTTGTCTGGCAAGCATATGAGCTTGTGCAAGCGAACAGATTTTCATGATGTGATATACATTTTGCTAAAAAGGCTCCCTAATATCAARGGGCGGGGATCCTMGACATCCCTTTGAGGGTTTGAAATCGGTATTTTAGTCCCGCTTAGGGTGATAATGACGAGAATGCCTACCAACTGAGTTTTGTGGTYCCTTTTAGGGTATACGACGACCCTAAGCAGTCCTAAAATGACAACGTTGTCATAAACTCAATACGAGCCGACGGTGTTCTATAATTGTGCCAAAACGCCAATTAARTCGGGAAACCAAAACAAAATGATCTGTTATTGATTGGTCCCTCTTAGGGGTGAAATTTCAGCACTGCCACGCCCATCATCTCACATTAGAAGTCCCTTTTAGGTGTCATTTTCAGAATTTACGGAATCAACTTATACTGGTTTGTTGAGTTTAGCGATCGGTTTCAAAGTTATAGCCTGTGTTACATCCGGAATTTCTGTCTAATTTCCGTCAAATTAGACAGAAATTCCGGATGTAACACAGGCTACAAAGTTAAAGTTAGATGTTATCGACCCCCTCTCCTTCGCGCTGATTCACTTGGACGTTCCCCCCTTTCAAGATGAATTCAGACTATGACCCCCCTCTGGATACTCAAAACCCCACCTGTTCTTGTAGTTAAATATCTTATTCGATCAACTCCCTTTCCCTTATCAAACGTTTGTCCTCGAAGTAAAGTTTGCCGTTCATGAAGTTTGCCCTCACAAAGTTTAATAAGTTATTAATCAAGATTACGTTTGCCATGAAGACATTTAGTATGTCACCAACGGATTAAGTTTGCGATCACGTCTCAAATGTACGATACGTTTTTTMATAATTGCCGTTGGCCCTTTTGGGCTTCCGTAGGCCTTTCATGAGTGAATATACCCACAGCAAAACTGGCCTTTCATTCGCTCTTCGCTGTGACGACTTAGCTGTATACAGCAAATTCAGAAAACGTTTAATGCTGTATACTGTATTCTGTACAGTGCATTCCAAGACCGCAATGCATTGTTGCTCTTAAACTTTATGTTAGCTGCCTCACAAAATGACAGTTCTAAACTTTATTGCTTTCCACTGAAGTTTGGGAGCTGGAATACTCACAAAATCCTTTTGAACGGCGATAGAACGACCAAAATGCATTTCGGTCTTGGAATACACTATCTTTAGTATTCTAATACACTTTAAAAACGTGTTATGAAATAGCTGTATACAGTACTTATACATATAAACATTACAGTTATTTTCTACTGATAAATAATACTTTCAGTGAAGTATATAATAGCTTATAATAGTCCTGATTCATCTGCTACAAATACATAGTAAAAATATCATTAGCCTGATTGCAGCTGAATCAAAATTGTTGCTATGTTACACACAGTTTAAGACTTGGTCTTAAGTTGCACACAGGCTAAAATATCCTGTGAATAACTTTAGCAAAAAGGGAATTAAAAAAAAATCAAAGGAAGGTCACTGGAGCGGAACGTTTTCTTTGTCTTTTTTAAAAGTGTCGGGGGAGGAGGTTCCTGAGTAGTATCGAATAACGCAATTCATGTTTACAATATTTTAGATGAAATTCTATCGGACTTCTCTTAAATTTACTGAAGATTCTTATTTTGCAGTTTGCGGTGTGTTCTTCAGATCTAAGATTTGGATTTTTGTAAGTTTGCAATGGCGACAATAGGTCTGAATGCAGGTCAATCTAATGCATCAGTCCAGCCCTGGGGGAATATAGAAGGAATTAACATTTTAACAATTAAAATCCCCGCATGTCCCGGCCCTTAGAGGCTAAAACGGCGCGTAAGCTGGTCCCCCGCCTTACCTTACCGATTTAAAATCTTCGGCGAAAATGCGTTCATTCCCCGCCCTCCCTCAGAGTTGGCTGAGGCGGTTTATAAATTGACTGAAAAGACAAAATGATAATCTTAAGGTAAACCTCAGAACTATTTCCAAATTTGACAATATAAATATACATGTACTGTTGCTGTCTAAACCAAGTGGACTTCTTCTTCTTCATGGGAAGGTAAATCGCATACTCCAGAAAACTTGTCCATTACTGCAATGTCTTTATTTTTAGGTGAAATGTTCTCTTCCTCTGGTATCACCAAATTCTTTCTCTCSACAAGCGCTTTTTCAAGCTGTTTCAGAGCTATGTTTGTCTTTTTTAAGGCAAACTTTTCACTTTCTTTGATGACAAAGCCAGAGTCACTAATAGTTTTGTGTTCGTGTTTCCATACTTGATAAATGTAATGAAATATTGAAACATAAAACTCACAGAAAACATTGATGACTGACTTACGGCCATTGCATTCCCTATGACAAAAAAAAACATGAAAAAGATATACCACAACACCAAAAGAAAGCCCGGGGGGGGGGTACTCGACCCCGTTTTTGATAGGAACGTGCCGCCAGCGGTCTAAATCCCTGACCCTGTTTAAGACACTAAAAAGTAAAAATCCATACCCTGACAAATCGGAAAAATAAAGAATAGCTGTCTACGCAACCATCAAAACTGCAATTATACTGACATCCATCAAAGACAATATGAAGTTTTTGATAACACGTTAATCCTGGTACAGTGAAACGGTATTTCTACTATTTCGACGGTATTTCTTATGAAAATATTACCCTGTACAAGACACAAAAAAATTATCTCGGTCTTTTATCTAAATTGTAGAGCCTGTTTAAGACAATTTCGGGTGAAATGTAGACCCTGTTAAAGACAGCAAGGCCAAAAACCATACCCTGGCCAGCGGCACGTTTCCGTATAGCAAATATATGGGAGTACGCCTCCCCCCCCCCCTCCCGGGAAAGAAAGTAGTGGACATGGTTTTTAAAAAGGCTGACCATGAAGACTTGTCAGGATTTCAAAATTCGCCCTGAAACCAGCAGGGCTAAAGATATCATCGTTGTCTGCCCCTACCTCGAAGGGATCATGGCCATATTAGGCGCGAATAACATGGGAGTCATTCCTGGGAGTCCGAATTACTGAGGGAATGAGAGAACTTCTTGAAGTACTTTGAAATCAAGTCAGAAGTTTTTTWCACCAGTCCAACATTGAAATAATTATTCCTTACAAGTAATGTTTAAACTTGCAATTTTTGCAGCGCGATAATCGCCACTTTGCTATCGCACAACTAAAATCGTACGTGTAAACATCCATGCGATTGTTGCGCCGATGCAACCAATTTTCAAGCAGTGTTGGGAACTCAGGGGATGGTCGCGCGAGGATCGCCGCGAGAATCGCTCTGCAAAAATTTCAGATCACAAACGGGCCTTAAATTTGGGTGATTGCAGTTTTCAAAAAAGTGAGAGAAACGTGCCGGGATTGCAATTCCTCCCCAACATCTTTGTGTTCCCAGAAATAATGAATGTACAATCTCACAATGATTAAAGCATTACGTAAMAAATATACAGTCAAAAGAATTATTAAAATCATTATAAAACTCATTAATATTCATAAGGCAAAACACAATAGAAATCATAGCCCATGAAGAGAGTTGTATATTACATACAGATCGCCCGCTCATATTGTATATATTACTTAAAAAATACCTGATTGTTCATCTATACTTACTTATTAAGATTTCCTTCCCTTAACGTATGAAGAGCAATGCGAGTTACGTTTATCGACATGACACAAAATGGAAAATTCTGTGTCTCGTGCTGGGATAGTTTGTAAATGTCTAGTGCGAGAGAGTGCATCCGATCATCTGTTACAAGGTAGAGTAGGTTGAGGAGACCCAAAAGACCACAACCACGCAAATCTGTAGCAGGATCCAGACCTAATCAAAAGATTCAAAATCATTAAAGTCTTCAGCTGTYGGTCTAAAGCACATTAGTTGTCTCACTTCTCCATGATTATTTATATAGAGTTYAAACAATAACCTATTTAGAATTTAGGACCTCCCTGCCCTCCTGCCCCTAGCAATCACAATTCCTAGATATGCAATGGCTCTCATGTATCTATAGAAGGCTCTCATGTTCGTATAGAAGGTTTTTTAATGAGTGAGATGTGATGGCCAATCATCACTTACAGTAGGCTACCAAAAGGCAAAATCAAAACTGTGTTAAAAATTTACAGCTATGTTGTAGTTCAGGTTCAATATGATTTTGAACCAGTTCAATTTCTTCTGAACTGGTTCAGTCTGAACTGGTTCAGTTTATTTTGAGCCAGTCCAATATAACTCAATCCAGTACAAATCAGTTTAGGGTTAGGTTTAGGGTTAGGTTTAGGGTTAGGTTTAGGAATAGGGTTGAGCTAAAATAAAAATAAAAATTTTCTTCATTAATAAAAATACAATAGCCGACTTGCGAATTACGCATCAATAGTCACTTACAAAGGAATCAATACGAGGCGTCATGCTAAAGACAATAGATTTTTCACAAAAAAGCATGGCGATTCCTTTGTATGTGACTATTGATGCGTAATTCGCAAGTCGGCTATTAAGATAAAAACAATTTGCAAACATTACTACCAACAAAATTCTTGAT